GCATTCCCTGCAGCACGTGCGACGAAACGGGCCAGCTGCCCAATTATTATCATAACCTTCGAAGCATGGCCCACCGACGCGGCCTTCGTAGCATTCCCTGCAGCACGTGCGACGAAACGGGCCGGCTCCGGGAACTGGGCATACCGGCACAAAAGGCACGCAAGGCACCAGCTGAACAGGACGTGGAGGTAGGTTTGTTTGCTGATTTTTATCTTTTGTTTCATCTGCATTCTTCTTGTCCTTGTCCTCGGTATTCGAAGCCTTATCTTCTTTTTCTTTCTTTTTGTGGACTTTGATCTCAATGCTCTTGATGACTGCTTTGCCCTTGCAGAGTATCTTTTGCTTCATCTTTTCAGGGTCGCAGCAGCAGACCACTTTGATTGTCACTGTGTTTTGCTTCTCATCGTACACCTGGTCTTGTATTTCTGTTTGTTCACAAAAACAAAAAACAAACAAAAAAAATCAAATGTATCATAAACATAATTTATACACACACACGGTGTACAAGAACGCATGACTATATATATACAGACGGCACAAATATATCCTCCAATATATATAAAATAAAATTATATATGGTAAAAACTAGAAACTATATATTCTCTTAAGATGTAAATAATCATATATTGTTTTTCAATTCTAAAAAGTGAAAATGTTATTCGTTGTTCGAGAGAGAGAGAGAGATGCGCTCACGAGGAAAACTACAGAGAACTTTTTTGACCTTCCTGTAGCATTCATGGCATTGAAGGTTCACCTTCAGCACCATTATGGTCGCATTAGCCTGCAGTAAAACAGTTCAATAAAATTAGTGAATTACATCATGATAAAACGATAAAATTTGCCCACATATGTACACACATATATGAAAGTATATATAAGTGGACAACAAATGATCCAGACAAAATAAAGTGTGGGTGAGGATGGTGGCGGATGCGCACTTGAAGCCAGAGAATCAGATCAAGAAGAAAGAGGAAAAAGAACGAAGAATGCCTTACTAAAGAGAGACACAAATGACTACAAGAGAAAAATATAGCAAACTGAAATATATACCATGGTTTATGAGCTCTCAGATATCTAGAACCTCTCCCAAAGTGATTGACGGTACCCCTTATATAGAGAAATATACATGAGGTGAGACTACGATCAGTTGATTCTTCTCCATCACAAACAAAACCAAGTTTCGCATATCATGAAGACGTCATAGATAATACTTTTTCTGCACATACGGTACTAGGTTTTTATTAGCCTACGAATATATATATATATATATATATATACGGGAAACGACCAGGACGAAAGGGTCTATGTCGTGACATTAGCACTTGACGCGTTCAAGTAAAAAGGAACTATGACGCATGTGGCCTATCTTTTTCTATCGCTAATTATCCAATCCTAGCATACACATGTTGTGCGGTGGTCTAGTTGTCACTTTAATTTTTCTGACTCAAGTTGTTGGTTTGGTTGGCAAACGATAAATTTATGAGCAACAATGACTTTCTTTTATTTCTTTTTGCTAGGAAAGTATTATATGATAAGAGGACTAATGATTGTTACACAATGTGTTATATACAATTGAGCGTTCACCGTGCCATGTAACTTTATTTTTTTGTTCTCGTTTTAGTGCTGTACAGACTACAGTAATACAAGTCTTTATAAATTATAGGACTTTTTCTTCGGTCCCTCTGGATGGAAAGTCATTTTAATGTAATACGTAATTATAAAAAAATATAACATGATAATCAATGACAGAGGGAGAGGGGATTTTTTTTTCTTTTTTTAATATAGTGATTTTAATTTTAATATAGTAGGTATGTGTACAAATTAGACTTGACTCTACTTAAATTAATAGTTTCCTACATTTTATTGGACCATGAATTAATTTAATAAACAAAACATGTTATATATATATGTTAGTGTAATCTTGATAAAAAAAAATGGTCCCCTACCAAGAAATCTTAGCTCTATGACCGGTGATAATCATTAGACGTAACATTAGCTTTAGAGAGAAGTAACATTAAAGAATTTATTCATTTAAAAACTATATGTTACACCTCTTCAATGTCAATGTTACATTCATTAACTCCATGTTACGAGAAGGAATCTTCTTCAAAGAGATCGTCTTCATATAGTGTTATGGCTTTTCTCTACTACTCTCTCTTCGTCTTAATTTGTTACAAACTCAAACAATCTTCTCTATCAAACGAGTCCTCTCTATGGGATCTATCTCTCTAGTAGGATTTTCGCCTGGAGGCTTTTTCTAACAGTCTTCAAACTATCAATAAAAGTATCTTTTGCGTTTTTTTTCCCCCCATGGTGGCTGGAAATTAGAGTTTTCTTTTGTTAATTTACTGGTTGCTGACCTTGCTTCCCTGTATTTGCTATTTCATTTGTATTAATCTTGTTAATATGGTAACGGGGAACGTATATCTTATGAAGAGAAAAACACACACACACATATATATATATATATGTATATATATATGAGGCATAAATTAAAGACAAAAGAGATCTTGACTCTAGATGGAAAATGAATGGAATTATTCTACTGATCTTACCTCCAATTTGTAGGCGTTTATTTTCATTTTCTTAACCACTCTTTTCTTTACGTTTCAGTTATATATTCTCATTCTTTACTACGGAGCACTAATTTTGATTAGTCATTTTCCTACAGTCCCCTACCTATATAAAACCGCTTTCAATCTGGGCAAGAAGAGGTTAGAGTTTGAAGAGAGATTGAGAAGAAAAATGAGGGAGAAGAATTGCACTTTATAAAGTATTGACTTTCATTTTAAAATGTAAAATTGTTTAAGTGGGATGGCTCAATATCCTTATATAGTTGTGATTATGTTTACGTTTAGACAACGCGGGACTCGAGAATTTTACCCTTAATAAGATACACAAAGAGATAGCCAAAGACATAAAATAGGAAACAAAAAGCAGAGGTTCAATTAAAATTTCAAAATATGAAAGAGCTCATGCCGCACTCCAGAATGAACCGCAGCTAGAATGTGAATTGTGAATTGTGATTTGTCTAGCTACCCAAGCGTCAACGACAACGTCAACAAGTCTACAACCAAACTTCGTTAGTAATATTTTCATTTGTTTTTTCATATGATAAAGTTAACATACCAGAAACAATATAATGTGACATATGTCCCAATTAGGACCAAATGATCGCAATGTGACATATGTGATATTTGACGCGAGAGTGGAACTATCCCCAAAAGAATTACTTTAGTAACGAGTTGTGGTGTAATTATACACGGTTTGCTTGACGGGAATCCGATCTAAATATACTGACTTTCTTCCTTGCAAATTAATTCTTTTGTAGACCAAAAAAAAAAAAAAAAAAGAAGAAGAAAGAAAGAACCGACTAAAATGGATATACAAACATTAAATAAGTGAAACAAAGAATAATTAAGAAAAACTAATTGTCACATAAAACGCAGCGTGTGGGGGGTTGAAGCCGGAATCGGCCAATTGTCTGTCTAATTATATTCTAATTAGTGGAAGCCTTGTTCTTTCTTTATTCTAATTCTATTGCAAGAAGATTTAATTTAGTATTTGTTAAAGAAAAGTGAATGATTGAAGTAAGCGTATTGTAACGATAGACTTCTTGCATTCCAATATTAAAGTGCCTCCCTTTTCTTTGGAGTACTACGGATATAGAATATTTATCCACAAAATGAGTGAGGCATAAAATTGAGAACAAATTTTTAAATTCAAAAGATTCAAAATTTAGTAGTTTTTAAAACATTGATATTTTTAATTAACAAAAACTAAAGTTAGAAGATATATTTATACAATTGTATCAATTATTCTTATAGAAAAGAGTAATCCCTTCTGAATATTCATAAGTGATTCACCTTCGCAATAAGGAAAGCCGAAGCCAAAAGACCAAAACTAGTCATCTGCGACAATCGAACACTCTGCAAATGTAATACCCTTTTCAATTCTGGGCACTCCCAAGTGTTATCCATTAACCACAATATCTGCCTTCTGCCTTTTGCAGCTTAATTTCGGAAAAAATATTTAGATGTATTGCCATGTCTGGCACCTGAGCATATATCTTTCAAGGCTCTAGCTTGGTCTGGGGTGGCAATATCGGCGAAAATGACTGAGAATGGTGTAACAGCTTTGTATAGCCATTATATATTCCTCTTTCTTTTCATCGTAACTAGGACTTTGAACTCTAGTCATGATTTAATGATTTAAGTTGTGTTTATGAGAGAAAAATATTATAATAAAAAATTTAAATTTAAATTTTTATTAAACAAAACATTGTAACAATATGGCTCATAAAATGAATAAAGCCTATTAATACTTGAAATGAAGTACTTTAAATCTATTTACTTAATTTAGTTTCATCACTATTGGTATTTATTACAATTTCTGTTAATACTTTATCTCCAACTATACTCTGGCCTTCTCTTTGGGCCGTTTGGACATGACATATGTGGACTAATTGCTAATCTTTCACGTTGGATCATGCAGTTTGACGTGCAAGCCATAACATTTTTTGTTTGTATTATTTTAATATGAACTCTCGCCATGTTTAAGTTGTACGGGAGAGTAGAGCCTAATTATTATCCCGGAACACATACGTAGAGTTGTCAAACGTGCCATGCTGGGCCGGCACGGCACGCTTGACCCCAGGCCCATCACGGGCCTAGGCCGTACCAGGCACGGCCCTGCACAATGCAAGGCCGTACCTGGGCCGGGCCTGAGAAGAAAAACTCAGGCCCAGTCCAGGCCCTGGCCCTAGTCCATAAGGGCCAAGGCCGGGCCTGGGCCCAGGCCCTTCACGGGCCGGCCTCGGCCCTTGTTTTTTTTTTAATTTAATTAAAAAAAATATCAAATGCCCTAAAAGATGTGATTTTATTGAATTGACGTAATAGGAGCACACGTAAATGATTGCCTCGTTAAAAACCTTGCTAAGTAAAACCCGTGGGGAGATCGGGACAAAACCTTAGCGAAGAAAAAAAGAGTGCAGTAGCTAGGAATAGTAAATTACAAACCTAAGTGCTTCCAGAAGATTCTATTATTTCTAAGTTAGAAAAATATTCTTGCATCGAATCATCTGTGTATTGTTGTTTTCATCTTCTGACATCTTCCTAGACTTTAACGCACATTAGTCCCTCCAAGATATCTGGATGCATTCTGCTTCTCTTCTCGTCAAGAATTCGATTGCTTGCGCTAAAAGCTTGCTCCGATGCTACCGTTGACACTGGAGTTGTCAGAATGTCACGAGCTATTATGGACAGTGTTGGAAAACGATCTGTCTTACTCTTCCACCACTGTAAGATGTCTAGTTTGTCGTCATCGATTATAAAATTTGCTTCAAAATATTTGACTAGTTCCGTAGACGCTTGTGTTGAGGATGATCCTGCCGTTTTCTCTTTCTTCTTCAAGAAACTCCACGACGATCCTTTAGGCCCCGAACTGGTAGTTGACGACGAAGTTCCCTGTTCTTTTTTACCCATGCTATATTTTGCTTCATACAAACTAAAAACTTTTTCTAACATTTTCTTAGAGTCAGTAATACTTAGTTGCATATCTACTTTTAAATTCTTTGCGGTAGCAGTCATCAATGATTCAGTTCCATCTACTTAGCACCTAGGATCTAAAATGGTTGCCAATGCATATAACATAGGACAACCTTACCAATAACTTTTAAATTTATTTTTCATTAAGTTAACTATATTTCCAAAAAGTTGTGTAGCCCTGTAATAAGAAAATGTTTTTGAAATATTAAATAGTTGATGTAAAGCTAAATGTGCAGTAGGATAATAAACTCCAGAAAGTAATTCAGTAGCATTGTAAAAAACTTCTAAAAATTTAAAAAAATACTCAGCAATCTGCCAATCAGGATCGAAAATTAAAATTTGATCGTTCTTACTGTTTACGTATGTCGTGATAAGCTGTGAATATGGGAGTGCTGCCTTCAACATTAAATATGTTGAATTCCACCTATGTCTCACGTCAGTTGGAAACTTTCTTGGGCGCATCTGGCTATTCCTGCAATATTGTTTGAATTCTTGGAGCCGAGCTCCAGAACTAGATATGAAGGATAATGATTCTCTAATATTTGTAAGATTAGCAGAGATATGTTCAATTCCTGCCTGAACTACTAAATTAATTATGTGACATGCACACCGTTGATGAAAAATTTCCCCTCCAAATGCCGGTTTCAAACTACGTTTAAACAGATTAATTACAACTGTATTAGCTGACGCATTATCAAAAGTAATTGTTAAAACTTTATCTTCCATCCCATAAAACCCAAAAATTTCCATTATTGTACTGAAAATAGCTGTTGCGTTAT